GTAATGCCTTTTGTCTGCTTCATAATATTGGGTGGATGTGTATATGTGTACGTACAAAAAAAAAATCAGTAATTATGTATACTGTATTGTGTTAATGTCTTAGAAGATACTGTGGATATAAAGAAATTTTGTGAACTGTGAGTGGCATGGAATTTGTTGAGTTGCTACAACTAAACTCACTGGAGGAAAATGTGAGAGATATTACTGCTATTTATATGTAATGTTTAAATATAGTGAGTTTTTTTTTTTTTTTTTTTTTTTTTTTTTTTTTTTTTTTTTTTTTTTTTTTTTTTTTTTTTTTTTTTTTTTTTTTTTTAGGAAAACTAGAAATACATGTCTTCTTAAATAACAGTTTTATTATTTATTTCACCATAAATATTGCACAGTCACACAACTACAGTAATTACACTTGAGCTACATTACTCATGAAATCGTAATGACACGATTGCAAACAAACCATACCACGGGTGGGATTTAACCTGCGGTCAGAGAGTCTCAAAACTCCAGACCGTCGCGTTAGCCAGTTCTGGAGTTTTGAGACTCGCTGACCGCGGGTTCAATCCCGCCCGTGGTATGGTTTGAGCTACATTATTCGGTAATTTATAGAAGCCTACAGTATTGTCACATGTAGTCATGTAATTATTTCATTCACATCAAATTACATACCAGATGACTGTCCCTAAGATGCAATGTTCTTTTTTGTTCTAAATTTAAAATGTGGCATTGAGATACGCACCATAATGAGTGGAAATTTTGACTTTAATTTTGTTTTCAATGGATTATTTATATAGATATATATTTGCTTATAATATAATATAATATATATTAATTACTACACTATATTATAATACTGTAATAGTACAATAGTAATATATTAATAGTCACAATAATAATAATATAGTCATAAATTGTAATCCATATATAGTGGTACCTCGAGTTACGAACTTAATTCGTTCCAGAAGGCTGTTCGAGTGCCTATACCGAATTAATTTATTCCCATGAGGAATAATGTAAATTAGATTAGTCCGTTTCAGACCCCCAAAAATATACTTACAAAACCACTTACAAAAATACACTTACATAATTGTTTGAGTTGGGAGCTGTTTGAAACACAAGGTACCACTGTAGTTGCTTTAATACATTATTTAGATTTAGTGCTTAGTTTTATAAGTTGAATCTACATTACATATGTATAAACACACATTTTTCTATCAATGCTTGAGTATTTATATGTACATAGATAAATTAGCTTTATTAACAAATTACTAATGCTTTTTGCAAGGAAACATAAGTGACAGTAAATACATGTAGTAGTATTGTTGTATATAACAGCAATATCTTTCTTCTGTGCACTATACTGATGATAATTCATTATATTGATAATAATTTTAATAATAATCATAATTTGAATGCAGAATGGTAGAATATTATTGTACATAATAATAATAATAATAATAATAATAATAATAATATGTAATAATAATAATAATACAGGTAATGATTAGATATACAATATTGTAGTACTGGTTTAACAAATTTGTTTATAGTCCTGTAGGACTATAAGCATTAGCTTGGTTTATAACATTTATTCATTATACATTATGTCATATCTCATAGAACACAGACTGAGTGAAGGTAGGACTATCTTGCTATCAACAAAAAACAGTTGACCATCATTTGAGTAATCAACTCTTAGATGTATTAACATTGCAAGTCACTGTAGTGTCACTAGAAGCATTTTTGTGCCCCTTTTCTTTAGCATAGCAAATAATGTATTGAGAAGACTGTTGAGGTACACTGGTTTACAGCTGTATTAATAGTTCTTGAATATATTAGAGTCATCAAGTTGCTGACAGAATAAAGTACAAATGTTCTTGGAAAGCAGCACTACTCAAGAAGGTAGTAGTCATGAGACTATGAATAGTCATTATGAGTAAAGGAGATCAACCAAGTATATGTCTCAAGCACTTCCTCCAGTGACATTACTAGTGCTCAAATTCCTGTTGCTCAAGTACCGCAACTGTCAAACATATAAAATGACATTAAATGTCGAAGAGATGTTCTTTGAGCCTTGTATCAAGATGATTTATCCTTCATGCAGTAATTGCATTAATAGTCATTTTTATCTCTCACAATGTCAAAAAAGTTACAAATTTGACCTTCAGAAGACAATACATGTCCTGAATGCTTTTCTGAGTACAGTACAATACTAAATTTAGCTGGCTGGTGTAGTCCTGCTTAATAGTTCCAAATTGATTATTCTACTGTGACTCTCAGCTGAGAAGAGAAGTAGTGCAAACTACTTTCTTGGATTAGAAATTTGTTTAAATTCTGCTTCATATTCTTTACAAATCTCAAGCAGTTTCATGGCCTTTTTGGTGGATGCAACAACAGAAGGTCATCTGTACACCCGAGAACGTTGGGGCATGTTTTGCCAACTTAACAGCCAACCCCACATGTGTTGCCAGCACAACAACCATCCCCTTGAGCATGTATTGTCAACAAGACAACCAATCCTTATTGTGTATATACAGTATATTGCTAACATGAAAACCAACCCCTCATGCATACATTGCTAACATGATAACCAACCTTGCTTGTATTGCCAACATGACAGCCATGTATTATCATCATGATAGCCACCCTCATATGCATGAACCTTTCAGTGAATAGGTCCAAGTGTACTGAAAACAAGATAGGACTACGAGCTGCCCCTTTACCTGATCCTGCTACTCAGAGAGAACTGTAAATTCACATTATTCCATTTCGCAGCATCATATATGAGATAAGAGATATTTCACAACCCCTTGGTAGACCCTATTGTTAATGCTTTGACAAATTTTTTTTAGAAGCATTAAGAAATACAGCAAACACATTGCTTCTCTACAAAATATAATACTGAATATCTTCTTAGTTGTGACTCTGCAGATGCTTTAAGTTCTTCAAGAAGGTTCATATGTATGAAATTAAGTTTGTTTCTTTATAAGTGTGTTACAAACTGGGTAGAAGCACTGCACTGCAATTTGGGAGAAAAGGAAAAATAGCTCAAACCTGGTTGCTCTCCATTTCTCAGACATTGTATGATCTTTTCAGTTTTAGTACTTGCATATGAATATAATAACAGTTAATAATAATTGGAAAGGGAACTAGTGTTATTATTATTCATAGACAAGTGCTAAATCCATAAGCATCCAACAACAACTAGGGATTGGGAGGGGTTGAGGTGATGGTGTTTGATCCAAGGAGGGAAAGGATAGCTCCAATTTCTTGAATTAAGAGCCTTTTATTATCAGGGCATTCCCTTTTTAGGGTAGGGGGAAGGGGGTATAGAAGAAGATAACAAAGTCTTTACTTTGTGTGTGTGAGAGTGCTTTTTTATATGTAAAAGAAACCAAAACAAAATAGTATTCAGAAATACTTACAGCTTTTGTGTTTCATATAGTAAGTGGTCAGCAAAGACTTAAAAGTTATCATAAGAACTTTTCTATACATTTGTAATGTAAAGTAGTCTAGGACAGTGGTTTTCAAAGTTTTTTTTGAAGTCATGGAATCTTTATATACTGGTGCACTAAAAAAATACCCTGGAACATTGACAAAATGAAGACTTGGCAAAATTTTTATTTATACAAGGCAAATGGTAACAAAACACAATTTATGCTACTGCTTGTGATATAAGAAACGTACAAAAAGTTATGTTAATTTAACAAAAATAATTTATAAGTCTAGACAAAGTAAAAGAAAGATAATATAATTTTATTGACCAAATTAAAAAAAAAAACAGTAATAAGTAAAAAATATCATGTTTATTGTAGAATTAATTTAAAAAAAAATTAATTTTAGTAATTGATGGGATCATTTTTAGTAGTTAATCAAGGACATAAATGTTCGGTGAATGGGATGTGATGGCCTTTTCTTGAATAAAGTTTCGTTATTTGGAACAGGGAAGGGCACCTGCAAGTGGAGATTATTTTCTACATTTGGCTTACTTCTGTAGTTGATTCTTGTTGCCGTATATAATGAAAAATTTCACAGATTTTTTTTTTTTTTTTCAAAATAAGTGAGATTTTTGAGTCATGTGTTAACTTTAAAATGTACAATATTCTTTTAACATTTGAATTTAAAAACTAAGTTCAACATGATAATGAAATTTTGTCTCGCTCTCTCTCCGCCTCTCAGTCATGTCTCATGACATACCCGACAGAGCTACTTGTACATGAAGTTCCTGCAGAATCCTAGTGTTCTCCAGGACACAGTTTAAAGACCTGATATTGTGTGCATGTATCATATACCAAGGTTAACATGAGCACACAAGATAATCATACTTTACCTTATCTCATGTTCACAGTGTGAACACGAGATAAGTGGGTTTGATTCATTATAGTAGACATAAAAATAATTATTTAATTTTTCAGTCTCATTAGTTAGCTTCAAGACACTGTTATACAAGATTAGCGTACACTTTCTCTGATAATATTCAGCATTTTACAACAACAAATTCTCTCTGCCAACCATATCTTGGATAAAAAAGCTTCAATGGAGAAAGACACACACACATGCAGTAAAATGTTAAGAAAGCCCACTGTGTGGGCAAAATGTTATTAATAAAGGATCACATTGTACTGCATTTGTCTTTTTCTTCATTATATTGGTATTTTATACCCCTTCTTTCTGCAACTAGCTGCTTCAAAGTTTGTTAAAAGAAATTTATTAGTAAAATCAGCTACTATACATATTCCAAGTTAGTTTGCCTCTGTTTTGCTTAACAATATTTTGAGTAGAGTAAAATATTTACCAGCTTGTTAGATTGGCTGTGACTCTGAGAGAAAGGTTGAAATCCTCTTCCTGTGCAGGACATGATACTGTACCTCATTACAAGCTATGAACAAAGCATCAAGTATGAATTCAGTGTTAGTGAAGTACATTAAAGGAATAGAGTATGATGTGAGGCTGGGATATGTCGAGTACTGTGTCAGATATGATGGAAGAGAGGGAGAGAAGTA